GAAACTTTCTCAACCTGGAATGGCAGCATAGTGAAGTTCTGAACCTTCTCACACCGCGAATTACATCGGTATTTGTGGTAGGTGTGGCGTTATGTGAAGTGAACGTTTTCCCCCCTCTTCATACAATCAGTGATGTGAAATGCATGGCGCCCACATTAGCTTCGATTATTTCAACAAAGAACCCGGCCAAAGTTTTTCATTCGCATCTAAAAACAATCGGAATGAGAAAGTTCGGAAGTTGGTGCAATTTGCAAAATATGATTGCACTATTTTGAAATATTTCCATCCGAAATATATCAGTTTTAACGTTACTGTATCGAAGAAAGAATAACTATTCAGTGAAGGGGGTCAGAAATGTTGATCTGTTCCATACAGGTTTTATTATAGTGTTTGAATAAGGTAACATGTTGAAAGGGGTACGTATCGAGACCTTTCCTGTAAGTTTACGTGTTAGGTTGGAAGTTATAGTGAGAAGAGTGTTGTGCATTGGACCATCATTTCACTCTCCAATCAGGTATACTATTGGGAGTATCGGAGAAAGGGCATATAGGCGAGTAAGATCCTTTGGCTACTCTCTCAACGCAACTTCTCATATTTCTCAAGTTCGTTAATGGAAACGCTTCCACTACTAAGAGTACAGTTTGCGATGGATTATGAGCTATGGATTACGATTCTCAAATAGCTGCGAAACTTCTTGTTGGTAGTCACTCATGGACCGTTCTGGGGAGAGCACGCTTGCTTTGAAGATTCTTCACCGCAGTCGCATAGGTGTTTCGCAACTGACGAACTATTATTAATAACTGGAACTAGGTGGTACTGCTGGACTTCATCAAACTGGTGAATTTCCATACAATTAAGCTAAGCACCACGCGCTAAGTTGAAGACTCCGTTCTGTGGATTCTCCACTTTTGAAACTTTCTTTTCTTCGAAACAGATGGACTACTTAGTGGTATCTTAATATTCATTTTTGAGTATGACAGCTCAACAGTAATGTGTCTCTCTTTGGGTGTCTGGGTTCCAGACAAAAGGGAGGCATTCCTTACCTTTCATAATGCTCACGTCGTTCCTATAGTGTGACAGGACTTTCATCGTGGGCTATTATTATCACGCACCGCCAGCAAAACAGTACCATGAGTCAGCTGTTTGGACCGCAATCTCAAGTTGTACGGACGATTTTGTGGGTCGCGTTCTTCAAGGAGGGTATGAACAACATATTTAACGCCTTTTCACAAAACGTTTATGTTCAAAACAAATAGAACCGCCGCCCTCCAGGTCCATTTATAGCGGGATCCATGACCAAAATCGACTTTGTCATGAGGATTCCCCTAGCTATTCTCTCCTGTCTGACCGTAACCTCCAGAGCTTGTTCTACGAATAGTGAGTTGAATATGTTTCCTGATTTTTCCAAAAACTTATTAACTGGATGTAACAACGTACCAAGCATCCATATATCAAGTCCAAGCTCAGCTTATCATTCGTTGGTGACGCGACTCATTGGCATCTATTTTTTAATCTTTATTAGAGCTGGTTTTGTGGGGTAGAATAAAAAATGAAGGTGAACATAATCGTGTGCCTTGCAACATGGGCCAACACGCATGCGCGAACCCATTGGTCTTAGCGCCTCCACAAAATATCACGGATGAGGCATAATTGTGAGTGAGGTACATTGCACAGTCTGCGGTAACCGTGTCTAAGAAGAATAATCCTCAACCAGTAAGTAGGGGAGGGGGTCGTATCTGTCGCGGAAATATCAAAGCATCATGAGCCCAGGTGGTGAGATGAGCGGTAAGTGACACCGCTTAACACGCTCTCACGATGGTTGGTAGGGGATATTCCAATACCCAGATCACCTAACGACAGAAATCCAAAATTCAGTGCATCATTCATCTATCATCCCAAGCTCGTGAATCCATATCAGACACAGTAAGGCTGGGATACTAACTTACTTATCATTTGACAGCGGAAGTCACTGTAAAGGCTTATCGCATTAGAGTAGTTCTCAGAAAGGCTCTGAACAGGCCAAAAAAGTGCATGAAACGTACTCTCGAATTACGAAAATAACGAGAAAAGCTTTATCCCTCTCCTTTACCCAAAAACGGTTCGGTTGCAACCGTTGGGGATAATACAGAGGTTTTCGAAGAGAACTGAGATTGTGTTGTCATCAAAGAAAATAAACCTGGTTTCAAAAAAAGGTTCGTCTAATTTCAGAAAGAGAGGGAAAGATCTGTAGAGTAGCTGCAGTGCGCGCTGTCCACCCATATTGGTTTGGATGTAGCTCCGAACAACCACCCGATCTATACCATCCAGGGACGGTAAATTTGAAACCCAAACTTGCCTGTAGGGCAAAACATCGCAACTGTACACGGGCTGCCACCTCCCCTCCCCCCTCCCCTTTTTTTTTCGCTCAAACATTAGTTCAATGTCGCATTCAACCACCTGATTCTGAATGAAAGTGAAATGCATGCCGCATTGCCGCATACCAGAGGAGAGTTGGTCAATGACACTGCTCTGTTTTCCATCCTTTAACTAATCTATTGAACGGATTTCTGGAAAAACTAAGACGTAGAGAAGCTTGTACGAGATAAAACGTGTTTGAATACTCATTTAATTCGTAGCACGTTAAATAAACCTCCTCTTTCACGCTGAATGCTCTCTATAAACACGCGAAAAGATGATTCAAAATTATGACATTTCATTTTCCGTAACTTCCGAATGCACACCACTGAACTCGACAGTTTAGAGCAAATATTATTAGGTTGGCGGGAAAGTTCTGTCACATTTTTCAAATTAGACTTTCTTTTTACAGAGAGGCGTACAAGATCAAAATTATACAGCATGTTATTGAGAGATCCTTGCCAGCTCTGGACAGTTCTGAAGCATCGCTTAACAATGCACGCCGGCGCGACGCAAAGTTGGACATCATCTCAACTTTGACTTGGGCTACGTGGAGGTTTTCTAGGCTGTATAACGGTTGAATATAACGGTCGCTGTATAACGGCGACCAGCAGTTGGAAAGAGCAGTGTCTAGACTACACCCGTGTGCAAGGGGAGAGCATCCAAGTCTCTATTCACGAGTACGGTCGAACTTTTTTTGACGGGTGTGCTGCACCAACACGTTGAAGACGGCACTGTGCCGATGGATTTTGCCCTCTGCTTGACGATTCGCTTCAGATCTCGTAGCTGCCTTGCGTACGGATTGACCGAGGAGGCAGCTTCTTCATCCAGTAGTTTCCCGACCCACCGCTATCTAGAGCTGAGTTTACAGGTACTCCCGAACCTCACTTCGTCATTCGAACCGTAGGCTCCCGCTCTGAAGAGCTAGCGTCGTGGAAGATTGTCTGATGACTGTAGACATTGTCCTTGTGCAGCTCCATTATTTCGGCGTCGACAGCTGCCATGCTGGCGCCAGGGTGGTAGAAGAAATAGTTTAAGGAAGCGCTTGAAGGGGTCGGTGCTGAAGGTAGCGGATAACATTCTTGTCCATAATGCAGAATAAGGATGAGCAGGAGCCGAGCCAGTGACACTAATAGAAAGATCAATCCTTAATGTATAAATGCTCACATTACCGGTTAGCCCTCTTCAGGTAATAGGCGAATACTTGGGTTCAAAAAAGTGTGATCAATACTTTCCGCCAACCTAATAGCTCTGCCGACCGATGTGTGCGTATGCTGCAGAGCTTATTAGGGCAGAGTCTGACCACACATTGCGGGTAACGCGAGCTTTCACTTAGTAACGAAAATGTGCTAGGTAACTGATTAGCGGAGAAAATCAGCGGAAAAAACAGTCCGAAATGCGCTAAATCGGACTCCATATCGACCCCCAGCTGTACGTGCATGCAAATAAGTAAAGCACACTGTTGTACATGCATGTTTCACACACGGAACGGTGCGGGCGCGTCCTAAGACCTGGCGAGCGTTCCCGATGTTGCCTGCCGCGAACCGTGGCGCGAAAACCTTGCCTCTGCGTCTCTGATTCTGACTCTGCGCTCTAACACACGCCGCCACACAATCTACTCACTCTTCCTTTCTGGACTCTCGCCGATCGATAATTGCTCTCCATCAGCTGATTTCTGCCGCATTTTCGCAGCATTACTGCCACATTCAGCTCCTTGAAGCTGAAGTTTTTCGACTTTCGACTTCGGTTGTTAAAGATGAGTATTCTTACTGAAATTAGATCATTTTGCATGAATTTATCATGAAAGTCCCCCAGAAAACTTGTTTCTCCTTCTGTTTCGCAATTTCACCAAACTTTTCTTGAATGTCCTCATTTCTTTTATGTAATAGTTTCAGAAAGAATACTCACCTTCGAAAACTGAAGTCGAAAGTCGAAAAATCCCAGCTTTAGCAAGCTAAAGCTCAGCAATTATCGCATCGCGAGAGTCCAGGCGAAGAGGAGTGACTTGCGGCGGGACCGTGTGTTAGAGTCGGCAGAGTCATGCCATCAGAAGAACACAGAAGGCAATGATGATATCTCCTAAAAGTTTCGCCTTTCCATTGACACGCTCGCCAGCGTGCGTCTAGGGACCCGCCCCACGTTCTGATGAGAACAAACATCAGCTCTTTATCTTCTCATCTACTTACATTCGAATGCAGAGGATAGCATTAGCTGGCTGCTAATTAGTAGCTACAGCAATAGGGGTTGCCATGGGCCTAGGGAGTGCCCATGGGCCTAAGTGGTTAGCTCTCAGCAGAGCTCTTCGCCGATTTTCACTTTTTGAAGGTATCGCAGCCTCCGCAATCGGCGTTCCGGATCGTCTGACACATCTGAGAGGTTATAGCCTTATTTATCGCTGGCAAAGTGGCCTCAGGCTGTTGCCAACGGCGTTTATGCCAAGATCTTCTCGAAGGCGAAACTAATCATATGGGTGCTACGGAACAATATGACCAATTACGCCGAAAAGGAAATAATATGCTCACTGTTTTTCTTTAGACAACATCGGCCCGCGATGCAGAGCTCATCACGGATCCATCGTTCACATTCACCGTGAGCCCTCCAGTCAGATGGACGTACTATCCGCCGATTGCGCCAACAGGTCATTGCGCCCTTCGAAAAAAAAAACAGAAAGTAGACTAGAACTACACCTTCTTTCAGGTGGTACCACAATCACCAACTTCTTTCCGGGGCAAGTCATCCGACATCAGCTGAAGCTTTGCAATATGCGCAAAATGATGTGATGGCGGCGGTACGTAGGGCAAGAGACGTAAAGTAGGTTCCCCATCATCACTTCACACTTTTTATTTACAGTATCTCGAAGCACTGATCCAGATTCCGGGAGTAAACTCCTTAGGAGTCACCACCACTGTCACCTATTCACCAGACGAGATCTCCAATTGCTACACTAATCAGCCAATTCCAGGTGAGCTATAACTCTCCCATATTTATTGAGGCAAATAGACGCCCAAGGAACAGTGCGAAGTAGGAACAGATTCTTGACAGGTCCAGAGAATGTACTTTTCTAGGCGGAACAAAGATTGGCTACCTCGCCGGTGGCGCCGTCACACAAATAGCCATTGTAACCCAGCAACAAGCCACAGCCACAACTTGTCCACTGTCCACAACTATGATTCAAGCTGGCATCGGGCCGTATCAAGAATACACCAAAACACTTACGGTAAGCCAATAGTGTTGGCAGATGTGTGTTTCTTCGACACAGCAAGATGAGCCTACTATGTGCCTGAAGCTTCCATGTTTTGCTTAGGTGCATGTTCAGGGGAGACTGGCAGTTTATAGCCAGTTTCCCTGCCCCGGGAAGGTGAACGGTCTCGTTTTGTCACGAATTGTATAATCGTCGTTGAACCGTGGGAAAAGTCTGATTTTGCTAAAAAATTACTTCAGGTGTCGACCCGTGGCGGAACAACGCTGACTCGATACACCTGGGAGCGAGTCCTGTCGCAATTTCAGAGCACTCTCAACCTCAGATATCAAGCACTGTTC